TGTGTGTTCACCATTTACTAAGATAAGATCTGTACAACAAATAAAATCAAATAGATACCTAAATTTTTAATACTAATAAATTTGTCTGACGCACAGTCCTTTACTCATAGTGGCCAGAGAAAAGAAGAAAAATGTTGAAAAGCATTGGAGAAAAATGTGGAGAAAGCATTTTCTTTGGGTACATAGCAACAAAAGTGTGATGAAACGAGAAAACGCTATTTGTCTCTCTCTTTCATGCTTATTGCGCAATTCCCGTGTATAAAAGGCACCATACGTCTCTTCACAATCCATCTTGCACACATAGAGTACAGTGTTCGTACTTGTGTTCTGTCGCTTGATATGTCGCTTACTTCGAATCAACTATGGAATGAAGTAATGAACTAACATTAAGCGGCATCTTCCTGCTCTAAGTTTGTGATTTTTATTGTAAATTTAGTGGACGAGAATGATGCCGCAGTCTTTCTTTCACATATTTTATCAATTTTTCAGTCTTTTTTTCGGGTCAAACGGACTATTTGGAAGTTTCCTCTTAGCGACCATACCATCGTCTTGGAAAAGACGCCCACATGGTGGAATTCCAGATAGCATTCCTGATGACCCACTACAAAATGAAACGGGCATTACTCTGAATGAGATTAAATCGGAGAGCTCGTTTTCATTGCTATTGGGTCTGGGAAGAAACGTCGATGATTCATCGTTTATTCCCTAATCTCCTGTGCATTCATACATTTCTATCTAGTATTAAAAATTTAGGTATCTATTTGATTTTATTTGTTGTACAGATCTTATCTTAGTAAATGGTGAACACACAGTTATAATACTCAACCTTGTACAAGTAAGAAGATCATCATCGTACACTTATATACAAACACCATTCGGTTATTAATATACTATTTGAGTATTTGGTCAAATAGTTCTGCTTCTATTGAACGAATGTTAATTCAAAATACCATTATTTAATCTACAGCTATATGATACGCGATATCATTCGTTGACTGTTCTCATTTGTTTAACACTGTTTGTCTTTATAACACTATTTGATCTTCCTGTATGCCGGTTAAAAATCTTGAACCGTAGTCGGTATAATGATCGTATCATTCTCTTTATTTGTATAACAATAATTATTCACCATTTACTGCATTTCTACTATATGCGGTTAGTAGAAATGAAGTCTGTCTATCTACAATTTTGAAAATGATAAACACGTTTATTGAGTCTAATTGTTGGTGAATAATCACATTAAAAGAAATAAACAAAATATGAAAATATATGTATGATTTGAATACAAAAGCTAATACAGAAATCCTACTGGTGTTGAACTGTTTGATACCTACTTATTATTATATATATACATGTGATAGAACGCTTACTGAAAATGTGTAATAATTTTACTGAAATTGTATTTCGCTTGAACCTGTTTGATATACCCACAATAAAATCGACATATACCGCATGATCGATGTTGTATACCTGTTTAAGGGCAAGGTACAGCGATGACAAGTACTAATATTTGATTGTTCGGGTATTTGATAATCACGCGTTCTACCGTTCCAATGTTGATTCTCATCGGAAAGAGCAGAATGATGCATTGTGGGTGTTGATGATGAAAGCTCAAGTTCGCTCGATAAGAATGCTTGAGTATCACAGACATAGGTGGTTAATAAACTTGTTGATGTAATTACTGGTAATTGAAAGGTAGTTTTCTTTTGTGTTGAAGAAACACCGGATAATGCTCGTACAACTGAAAGTGATAATGGAGAAGATAAATCTTGCAAGAGTGTTGCGTTAACAGACGATTTTCTTGATGTTGATTTTGGTTTTGACATTTTTGTGTTTATCTTTGTTTTCTGTTTCATTGTTTCTTATTCTAATAATCATATATTATTTCTGGAGATGTAAGACATTCGCCATTATGTCTTGGAATCATTTGTTGACGACCCGTACGTTGTCGTTGAGTCGATCCGTGCGTATGTTGACTAATCGTATTATGTATAATTTCGTCAATCGATTTTTGTGTGTTAATATGAAATAAGAAAAATATGTTTAGAGTTTGTTTTTGAAAGAGTAGAATAATATAATCTTGCCAGTGTTCAATGGAGAACGACCTGAACTTGAAATTAAACGCCTCTTTTTTGGTGGATTATAAAGAAAACTTTCTTCATCTTCCTTTTCGATATCATTGAAAACTGAACTTGTTAATGGTAGTAAATTTTCATCAGGTGATTCGGGTAATGTTGTATGAGTGATGATTTTAGTCGATAAAATTGACTTTTCTTGTAACAGACATGTTGCACCTGATGATGACCCAGTGATCACACTAACTACTTCTAGTGCATCTGAATGAGAAAAAAATAATTTGAAGAGTTATGGTTCATTCATTAAAAATTACTTACTATTAATTACTTCATAAACACACCTTTCTGAAATTGAGGCTTATGTTGAACTGAATGTTGGTGAATTCATTGTATCATTCCTCATGAATGTCACAGCTTCATTTAATGTATACGTCATATTGTTGTTTCTTATTTGGTTTTTGATAATTACGTACCACGTTGTTATATTACGCTGACTTCTTGATTGTTTTGATTCAGTTAGCAAAAGAAGCAGACTATTCATACTATACTACTATATCTCCTATTTTCGTCCGGTCTGCTTGTTTTAAATCACCGGTCCAACTTTTACTACTATACAGTTAAGTAAGGATAAAAGAAACGTCTGGTGTTAACGTGACTATCAATAATACAAAGTTTAAGATTCGCATCGACAGATGATCAATAACTGTGAATAGAGTAGATGATTTTGAATATCTTATGTGTTAGAGTTTTTTACTTCTATTGTGAAATACGTCTAGCAAATATCAAATACCTTTCTCCATATTATGTCAGTCATTTTACAGTTAGTGTTCCAATTACCGCATCGAAGAAAGTGAAATATTTTTCTGCAATAAATATTTACAGTTTTGTGTAAAATTGGTATTGTAGTACGTTAATGTTATTCGAAAAATATTACAAGACGATTTTTCTCTTAGAACTGCTGGTGCAAGATTGTGGTACATCATACTGCGTCATGATTAATATTCAATATGCTAGATGTCTGATATTGCTTCCATCTTCTTTGGTGTACGATTAGATGGATGTTAAGTTTATAGCTATGCTTTCAGATCCGTATTTAACATCACGGTGTTCGGTTCTTGTATATTTACTTTGTTTAGGTGATTCTTTTGTGTACGTACTGGTTCATGCCTGTACTTCACAATATTATTTCAAACAAACTAATAGTCTACAGCTAAGTTTGGACGAACTATTTGATGCACTTGGTTTTATTTTAGAAAAACTGTTCGAGAAGAAAATGGTAACGCTGTTACGTTTTCTCAATATGACTCAGTTTTCCGGCCGGCGCGTATTTCGATTTTTTCACATCCGAACGATAAAATAATGGCTTCTGACCATCTTCAAAACAGTTTTCTTGACGCAAAAGTTATATAAAACTTAAAATAACCTCAACTATTTTTAAAGATATTTTTCTTGCTACATATCAACACTTTAAATCATTCAATAATTTTTTACCACTGACTTCTTTTTATCGTTGATTCTTTTTCATAAACTTGTTTTAACCAGTTTTGGCCGGCAAATCTACTGACTAGGAATGTTTGATTCTCGGTTCGGCAACTGAGAACCGTGGTTCTGGAACCGAAATGGCGGTTTCGGTTCTCGAGTTAGAACGGAACCGAAAAGTACCGCGGTTCCGGTTCTCGACTTAGAACTGGAAAATAATTTTTTAGACAATCAATGAAATAAATTTTATTTTGTAATAAACGAAAGAATTCGTTTACAAAATGACCGGCAAATATATCTTTTCGTAGTTTTGTCAGTAGTGTCTTTTCATTTTGTTAAAAGAAAGGCAAGTCAACAAGTCTCGGTTCCGAAAACAAGGAACCATCGAAGAAACCGCTGTTCTGGTTCCCGATAAAGATGTTTTTTTGTCATTGAATATGTTTCAGCGACTTGCTGTTGATATTTTCCTCTTACAAACTCATTCATTTTTCATGTACCATGATTATTAGCTAAATAAACTAAAATAAGATAAACCTCAATCTTACATTCCTTTTACTGATCTGATATTTTTAACAAGAAACATTTACTTCGTTCATATTTCGATTATGTGAGCAGGCCAGTTCATTATTTTTTCAATCCTCCTTCAACCCTAAAAAGTATTTGTTTTATTCTTTGCATTCCGTTGCAATTCTTTCATATTCATGATATCGTATTGTACATAATAAATATTATCAAGTATCTACAATTTTTTTTTATAAAGACAGAACTGTAATAGAAAATTGGCAAAGACGTTATCGTAAGAAAGAAGTTTTACTACTAGTATACACATTTGTCGTTATAATCAAATAACCTTGAAAGCGAAGTATTATTTAAATATCTCTCTGTTTCTCTCATTCATATCCATCGTAAGAATAAGAATTCTCAATAAAAGACATGCAGATAAAAACCCTCATTTTGCACTACTCATGAATTTTACTTGGTCAATTAACGTTATCAAACCACACATTATATTCGTTTACACCATATTCATTTTATTACGGTCGTTTTTGCTTCCTTCAAGTGCAATGACCTCGAAGAAAGAATTATCTAAATCTTAAAGATATATGATCGGTAACTGTAGCAGAATTGGTTTTAGAAACAATATAGACATCGATAGTCTTTACACAATAGAATTAAAATTATTTTCATACAAAAAAATTCGAATGATTTATGACACAGCACTGTAAATTGTAAGTATTTCGTTTGAAATATTAAAAGATATTCAATGAATTGAAACACTAAATGCTCTGAGACCTTACCTCGATGTTATATAACATATTTTTCAAATCGGGAAAGTCGTTAAAGAACTAAGCGAAAGAAAATCTGACTCAAATGGGCAGAAATGTAGCTGGTTTAAACCGGTATAAGCCGGTTCCGGCCGGGGTCCAATAGAGGAAAAGGACGTAAACCGACCGGTCGCACTTTGCCGGTCCGATCCAAAGATTTTAGACTGGTTGTCGGTTCCGCAAAATATTGATCGATTACATCTGTGCAATTGGAATTCGAGCCCAGGACCATGATATTCCATGCCAACGCTCTAGCCAACTGAGCTATCGAGCTACAGCCTCCTCATACCGTCTTTCGCCTTACCTAACACTTGAAAATTGAAATTTGATTTTTTCAGTGGTTTTTCTAAGATGACATGCAACTCGATATCAGGACGATAGTCACATTCAGAACAAGGGTACAGCAGAAAATTCTGCATCGAATGAGTATGTTTGAGCTACAGACTGAAATGTCACTGTAACGCTGAATCTGGAGCACTTTATGATCATAATTTCAAAGGATGTTTTTTTCTTTATAACTCTTTTTTCTTTAGGGTATATGTGTTACTGTATAAATAATGGAAAGAATTCGGATTTTACTACTTGCTGCTATGGGACTAGGTGCTCTGACATTAGTATTCGCAATAGTTAGTATAGCAACACCAGGATGGCCCGGTAGCACTAGTTTATATAGACCAACAGTGGAAAATAAATCTGCCGCCGCACTAGGAGTACTCAGTGTATTATTAATTGCGGCTGCATTGGTTCTTACTGGGTTTACCATGTTAAGAAAGACTTCGTCAATATTTATTTTATTAGCCATTATCGTATTGTTTCTAGCTTCATTATTTGCATTGGGAACAATTGTTTCAGTTTCTACTAATAATCATTCGATTGGTTATAGCTACAATTTAATGACTACTGCACATGTGTTTTTAAGTATTGCGGCGATAGCTGCTGCCGTTGCGTATGGCTGTACTCTAAACGCTATACCTGCTATATAAAAAGACATTTTAACCAAGAAACAGATTCAGTTTAGACCATGAGTAAAGTTCATGGATGAAAATATGATTATAATTGCAATTATCGCATGTTTTTTGTCTACAGAACATTTAATTTATTCAACAAAAACAAACTTTTATCTTATTTTTATTATATGTCCATGGTTTCATTAAAACTTTTAAAAATTTGAAAAATCAGAGAGTAAACACTGGTGTTGTTGGACTGATGCTTCTTTTTTCGCTGGTCGACTTCTACAGCAGAATTTTATTTCATTTAATGGAAAACATAGACGCAGCTACGAACAGGGAGTTTCGTAGATAAGAGAAAAATGTACAAAGCAAAGTTAGAAGTACGAGAGAAAGGCCAGCGCCATGATCAAATCTTGTTCACTCTTGTCTTTTTCTTTACAGCTGTTCTTTTTGTGACAATTTTTCAAAAACTATTAAATTTGCCGGTAGGATTGGCCGTTTTCGACGAGACGTGCTTGATTCGTGTGTCGACGAGAACAATGTCTTCTGCGGTCAGAATCGATGCCATATTGGTTTCAGCTTGCCATAGGTTAATGTCGGCTGTTGTTGAACGTATCTTGACGTTTTGTAAAACTCCCTTCAGGTCTTCGCAGAAGATGGAGTTTCAGCTATATACTCAAAAACAGGTGTTATCGTAGTTTTTTCTGAACCTATTTAAAATCTGATATAACGTTCAGTCACAACCTTTTGAAATGCGGTCACAACTTCTTAATAGACGGTCATCACTCCTTACAACGGTCACAATCGCTTACGTACTTGTCTGATATCGAGTGATATCGATTGATATCAGGGGAATGTTTTTTAGACGATCACAACCTCTTGATTGGTGGGTCACAATCTCTCAAGAGAACGGTCACAACTTTTAAGAGGAGGGTTGCAACCTTTTAGTCGGTCGGTCACAACTCTTAAACAATCAACTGTACATATGTAAACTATAAGTGTGAGAGAAGTGAGAATGCCTTTGGCCTAAACTGTAACTGTTCCACACACACGTAAAGGACTAAGCGAGGCTGTATGAAACCTATGCCTGGAGCGTGTATGATTACATCAATTTGTTTTAACTGGATTAAGACGTATACGTGGGAATGTGCTTATGTATACTACCCATGTCGCGAAAACCAAAAACTTTTTTGCGTTATTCAAGAGAATAATGCAAAAAATGGTTACAAATCCGAAATTCTGCATATTGTTTTGAAACAAAATATTTACAAAATTCTGTATTAATTGAACTAAAACAGAATTCTGCAAATATTTTGTTGTACAGAATATGCAAAATTTTGCGAAATTTCGGATTTTCAACCATTTTTTGCGTTACGCCTCTTATATTTTTGCAACTTTTTATTGCGTAACCACACAAAAAGAATTTTACAATTTTTACATGGGCTTAGTCATAGCTTCACTTGCAATATAAAAACGCCTTGAAGATGACATCAACAAAAGAAAATCAAGCAATTGAATAAAAATAAAGGGTATGAGAAACCGACGTCAATTACAATTATCAGTATTCTAGTCAGATTAACAGGCACGAATACGATGATATGCTAAAGAGAGATCTGTAGTGCTTACAGTCCTTTTTCACTCAACAATAAAATGAACATTTAGTCATACTACAATAGTCTTATTATGCACCGTGGAGATTTTGACACATTTTCGACGAATTTTTTATGCCGTACATGAGCGACAGCTGCCTGTATTTTAGTGAAAAATATTTTCGGGATTTAACGGAAGCGTAATTACGCTCACAAGACGAAAAAGCTCAATCCCGCAAGGTAAAATAGTCTAAGCAATTTTCTGCGCCCCTTCTTTGACCCTCTTGAAAGCCGGAGAACCAGATGTCGAATCGAGCCGAAATTTACATCGGAGATAGGACGTCGAAATAGAAAAGTGATATATTTTTCCCCAGAATTTTCGACGTGCTCTTCTATGGGATTTCTAGAACCAGTTTTCATCGAGTCACATTACGAGCTCTCGAAAAAATGGTCCGACTGAGCTCAAAATTTTATCACAGATACTTAGACCCTATCTCAGGTTGTAAATTTTTCTTTTCGGCAAATATGCTTTCTTTTGAAGGTTGAGCTCGATCGGACCATTTTTTGGTGGGGTCGTAATGTGACCCGATTGAAGGAACTATCGAAAAAACGCATAGTGAAAAAAACACATATTGTAAATAGGGTGCTGTTTTTAGGGCATTTTGGTGATGCTCATATCTCCACGAAAACTCATTGAAAAATTCTAGAAGACGTCTCATTATGAAGAACATACTTCCTTCTACCGTACTAAATATAAGAAAAGATTTTGAATATAAAGGAATGGGGAGAAAAATTTACGAACCTAAAAAATTGAGATTATCGAGGCTTTAAAGGAAAAACTTCATAATTTTTTCAAGGAAGGTCATGAAGAGCTGGAAGTGGTCTCATTTCGTAGCCCAGACTTTTCTCCATATTAGACTACGTTCAGCTCAAAAGAAAACTTTTCTGCAAAAAAGCGCGAGGGATACCCTTAACATTAGTTGTATAACTGGGGCATATCTAATTTCCACTAGGAAAAATTAAAATTTTAATTTCTAGTAGGAGAATTTTAAATTCCATTGGATTTTACCCAAGCAGAAAAGAAATAGCGACTATCGGACGACCTAGCTAGCTAACTCAAAATAAAGTTAAAAATTGTTTATTACCCGGTATAGCCAGCCAGCAATTCTAATCAAGTGACTTACTATCGAGGGATTTAGCTACTTAACACGATACAATACTCGATAGATCGACGGTGCTCACCTTTTTGTTTTGCAGCCACTGTACTATATATGTAACACATATACTTCACAAATTTTCAAAGTCTTTATTCATATCAAGTCAATATATTGAGCACGAATAGACCGATGTATTGGTAAATATTGCTTTCTGTACATATATTACAGTAAGCAGGATGTCTGTAGACAGATATCCCAGGATACAATGTAGACAGCATCCTTCATGCATTCAATATATGAGTCAATGTATATTTAATTGTATAGCTAGTGACGTAGTGGCATCAGATACTGTCCACAATATACCGGGCGATAATTGATCAATATATCGGCTAAATAACTACTCTCAGCACTGTTTTTCGTTAACTCGATATATCGGCTACGATATCTAGTCGCTAGCTACCATACCTGATATAGCTATATATTCTCAAAGGCATTTTTTTGCTTGGATAATTTCTCCAGCAACATATATCTACAATCATCTCTATCCGATTAATGTTATTTTACTGGTGCAGCAGTTTTGTTCTTTGATACACATTTGTCATATGCATCTGAATATCCTAAACATTCACTTGATTTAAACAATACAATTAATCAAAAACTAAATGATAAAGTAATAATATTAAATACAGTTACAAATAGTTATGAAATCAATTCAAATGGTCCAAATTCAGAGAGAGATGAATTAGTGTCAGCAGTAGGCGCTTCAGTGAAACTGATTCGTTCATTGGCAAATACCATTTCAGAATCAATAACACTCAAACGAACTCCACTAAAAACATCTAATTTACAAAGTGTTAATCAGCTCGATTCATTATCAATAAATACATTATTATCAAGAGATGGAACAACAACACAGAGACAACATTCGAGTTTTGTAATTGTTAAAAAGAAACGTGAGTTATGATATGTAAAAGACAAAAACGATTTCACATTTCTTGTAACTATTATTGCAGTCGATAGAAAACAAAATAATGAACATATCGATCTTCCAAATCAAGAAGCTCGTTCATTCAGTAAATATTCTCGCGGAAAAAAAAATAGTTGCACTCAGTATTTTAGATATATTGCCGTAATGAGAAGACATTTTTGAGAAAATAATGTCATATTCTGAAAGCCCTTGGAATTTTCTATAATTCTGTATATTTATCTTTTAGTTTACATTGACATATCAGTAAGATAAATCGACTACAATGAGAGCACCCTCGTCATCAGATTCCCGTAGACTTGATTTTGTCACTACCATCAAAATTAGTTTTTTAAATTTTTCATCACTATAGAAGAACCTTTCTCAGAAAGCAATTATAAATTCTGATAGAGCTTGAAATTCTCTGTCACCCTATGTATTTACATATTTTGTTGCATTTATAGATTGAAAAATAATTTGAGTACAGTGAACGTGTCCTCAATTGACAAGTACCAAAAATCTGCATTTTTCGTTACCTTTAGAATTTTCGTTTTCAATTCATTATTCTATGGGAAATATGATTTTTAAAAAGCAATTATATATTCTAATAGGGCTTGAAATTTTCTACCATCCTGTCTATTTGTCAACTATCTTACATTTATGCGCTGGAGAAAAACTCGATTACTCAGGTATCCTCCTTGACAAGCTCTAAAAACAAGTAGATCTATTTACGATCTCTTTG